CCCCTCTCCCCCACATGCCAGACGCCTCTTCCCCACCGCATTGCGGAGTCTGGCCTGCGGCGAGGGCCCACCGTGGAGAGGGTTCCCTGCCCCTTACCTGCGATGAGGGCTGATGGATGTGGAAAGGGGCACCAAGTGGCAGGCGCCAGGACACCCGGGGGAAGGGGAACGGGGCGGCACCGAGGATGGGGAAGGTGTGGCGCAGGCCGTGCGGACAGTGGGGCCATACGAGGCGCAGGACACCAAACCCACGGACCTTGGGCTACTAGGAGCAGAGGCTGAAACAAGGTTCTCACTATGCACCCACAGTGGTGGGGAGCGCGCAGAATGGCGGGGAGAAACGCAGAGGGGTGGTGTAGAGAAGGAGACAGGTCTACAGCTCATGGGAGTGTAGCAGAGTGAAGTCGGCAAATTTCAGATCAACACGCAACTTAGGTGCATAGTGAGAGAGGGTGCAGACCGGCTATATTGCCCAAGGGCGTCATGTATCCTAAGGGCGCCACTGCTCCAGGAAGGAGCCAGTGGAATGTCTTCATTTGGTATCTTCCTCTCACCCAAAGAAGAGGGAAGGACACACATTGAAACCCACTCCCCAAATCTCCAGCACAGCTGGGCGTCCTGGGCTCCCCGCCTCGTTCCCCCGCCCCCGTTGCGCACTGCGCCAGAGCCGCGGGGTTTCCTAGGTTGCCAGACGCCGCTTGCTCGGGACGTTAGTGCGCGCGCATCCCGTGCAGGGTAAGGAGATGCGATGCTGACTGGGATGAGTGCCTTGAATGGTGTGAGGCCACGCAGCGGAAAGATTATGAGGACTTGATGGGTATGCGCGAGCTGACTAGCCACAGCCGGGTGGCTGGGCATCCAGGGGGCATTTTGATGTATGCCAGTAACACGTTCTCTGAGGACCCTTCATTGCTTACGCCTATCCCCGCGTCTTTTCCATGTAACAGTCCCTGCCCATGATGAACAGCCCCGCCTTTCTCTCCATAGTGGCAAAATTCTGTAGAAATGATGTCCATCCTTTGGCGGCTCCAAAAGGAGCTCTGAGCATGCTCAGTAACCAAGGTGGGTTTGGACTGAGACACTACCAACGGAGCATCGCTCCAGGCAGAGTAACCAAGGATTCGGTCCCATTGTCAGCCCTTGCCCCTGGACGGATTCAATGCGGACATCCTCCCGCGCCCCAATTGTGAGGGATAATTTGGTGAATGGAGTTAAATTTGGAGGCCAACTGGTGTCAGGTTGAAAATAAGCCCACCATGATAAATGAGAAGGCGTCTCCGGATGAGGAGAGGAGGAGGGAGGAGAGAGATGGATATGCGTGTGCAGGGGCAGAGAGAACCAGAGGCAGGCATTAGGACTTAATGCCATTTGAATAAAGCACATCCTCACGAATTACATCCTTTCCTACTCCCAGCAGCCCCATGAAATGAGTGCTTCGTTATCACCACTTTCCAAGGTGCCAGTGTAGGAAACAGATTTAGAGATTAAGGTGCTTTGCCCAAGGTAACTGTCTAGTTAAACCATCCAACAATTCCAGTGGGGGGGGGGGTCTTCCACCTGAAAATATGGTTCCTTTTCCAACTCATCCCATCTTTATGTGAGAAAAGACAAGATTTTCACTCCCCCCCCAAATATCCATATATTTCCACCTGTGGCCTTATTGTGTATCAGAGATGTTTCACTTGCCATCTTTTTATTTGAAGGTTGCATTGCAGGTAGAGATGGCCTTTGGAGGAAGAAGCCACCCCAAAGTAGCCTAATTTCAGCAGGACAGTTATTATGTGGACCTTAGAGATGTTTCTTCCCGGATATTCGATGCCTTTTTAAATCTCATGTCACCTCTAAATTCTATCCTGGGGAGGAAGGTCACTCCCATATCTTAGAAGAGGAACATGAGGCATGGAGATGTCACTGGACACAGATCCCTGGGGCTGCTGGGCGGGGACGTGAGCCAGCATTTTGCCCTCCCCGCCCTCTGGCATTCGACCTGCTTTCGGTGCCTTCCAGAAGGACTAGGGATATGTGCCTGCAGCGGGAGCAGCTGTTGCTACAGCTGCAGGTTGGCATCTGTGGCATATGGACCCCATTTGGACTGATGGAGAATTTCAGGCCTGGGGAAGAATGGTCACAGCCCCTTAACACACTCTCCATGACGGGGAGACAGACAGGCGCTCTTCCCTTTTTATGTTACCTGGTCTCCACCAGCTCTCCTCTCTTTTCCTCTGTCTTCAAATGACCCATTCAAGTTCAATTGCTATGAAGAAAGTATCATGTCACTAACTTAATAGCAAAAGACATTCCTAGTTGTGCATTTTTAAAGCCTGACCAGGCACTGCAAAAGAGAATTCATTCATAATTCCAAGTTTTGTTTATCTGGCTCTGCAATTTTTTTTGTTTAATTTGTTAAACTTCTATTAAATTGTTGTACCTATATTAAAGTATGTTATAAAAATTATATTGTTAAACCTATATTAAGTTGGTTTTAAATGAGTGATTTCTAACTGGATTTTATAATCAAAGAGAGGAAGCCACTTAATATTGTTTAGTAGATTTAATTAAATTGTGATGGATTGCCATGTTTTTGAACAAGTGCATCAGCAGTCTTCACACTGGTTATTATCAAGCCGTAAAAATATACTATTATTATATTTATACAGGCAGCTTGGCTTGGCTGGAGCTAAGAGACACCCAGACACACACTTGGGTGGAGTTAGGTGACATCTGCCTGTGCTAGAAACTGAATACATAAGCTGCTGGACTGTCATGGAACATTCTGGAACGCATAAACAGGTATCTATCTAGCCACGGCTCCTGATTTCATTCTTCACAAAGGAAAGCTCTTGAGTCCTGTCCACCAACGGGGGCTCCATTAACTGGTATGCCTGATGAGCAGATGGTGGGGAAGCCAGATTGCAGGAGGTCCCCAAGAGAACAAGAAAGGCACTATAAGCAGAGAAGAGACCTGACAGAGTGGAACAGATGCAAATCCTCTGTGAGGCAGAATCCCTGGTCTGCCCCTCCTTCTACCCCTAACCAGGTCGAGGTGCTTCCTGGGAAGGAGAGGGCTGTGTGGTAAAACTGACCTTTATTTCCTCAGGAGTCCAAGCCTCTCTGCTGGGAGACTGCCCTCCAGGAGTTCCGGGTGCCAGAGTGGAGGTGTCTCCCCACCGTCTAAAGAGAGGTGAGGCGACAGAGATCTGGAGGGCAGTGAAAGCAGCTGTCCAACGTGCATTTGGTGGGGAGACGGGCGTGGGCAGCACGACCACGAGGCTGCCAGAGAGAAACTGTAGCTACGAGGCTGCAGAACCACAGACAGTGGTGCTGTCAGAACTGGGGTCAGGTCTGGACACCTAACACAAAGTGCCGAATCCTTGCGGCCGGGCACTGAGGGTGATTGGTCCAGAAGATTTTGAGACAGCTGCTGTTGGAGAGACCTGACCCAGGACCCAGTCACTGGTGTGTGATAACGTTTAGAAGCTCATCCAGGATAGTCTCAGTTCTAAGGCAGTGTCTTTCTGCCCCACAAACTAATCGGTACCCGTAGAGTCAGATCGAGTCAGTATTTGGGACAATGGCGCTGGCACTGTTGGAGGACTGGTGTAGGATCGTGAGTGTGGATGATCAGAAGTCACTGATGGTTATGGGGATACCAGTGGACTGTGATGAGAGTGAGATTCAGAAGACTCTCCAGGAGGCTTTAAAGTCTCTGGGCAGGTATCGACTGCTTGGCAAAATATTCAGGAAGCAGGAGAATGCCAATGCTGTGTTATTAGAGCTTCTGGAAGACACTGATGTCTCCGTGATCCCCAGCGAGGTTCAGGGAAAGGGGGGTATCTGGAAAGTGATCTTTAAGACCCCTAACCAGGACATTGAGTTTCTTCAAAGGCTGAACCTCTTTCTAGAAAAAGAGGGGCAGACAATCTCGGGAATGCTCCGAGCGCTTGGGCACGAGGGCGTGTCCCCAGCCGCAGCACCCCGCGCGTCACCGGGGTTCCTGGCCCATTTGTTGGGACAGGCACTCGCCCACGCCCCTCAGCCGCTGCTCCCCATGAGATACCGGAAGCTGAGAGTGTTCTCAGGGAGCGCCGCACCCGCCCCCGAGGAAGAGCCCTTTGAAATCTGGTTGGAACAGGCCACTGAGATAGTCACAGAGTGGCCGGTAGCAGAGGCAGAAAAGAAACGATGGTTGATGGAAAGCCTTCGCGGCCCGGCCCTGGACCTCATGCACATAGTCCAGGCAGACAATCCGTCCATAAGTGCGGAAGCGTGTCTGGAGGCATTTAAGCAAGTGTTCGGGAGCCTGGAGAGCCGCAGGACCTCACAGGTGAAATACCTGAAGGCCTATCAGGAGGAAGGAGAGAAGGTCTCCGCCTACGTGTTGCGGCTGGAAACCCTGCTGCGCAGGGCGGTGGAGAAGCGGGCCATCCCGCGGAGCATCGCCGACCAGGTCCGCTTGGAGCAGGTCATGGCTGGGGCGAGCCTTAGCGAAATCCTCTGGTGCAGGCTGAGGGCGCTGAAGGATCAGGGCCCACCCCCCAGCTTCCTGGAGCTCATGAAGGTCATCCGCCAAGAGGAGGAGGAGGAGGCCTCTTTCGAAAACGAGAATGTCGAGGAGCCGGAGGATGGGGATGGCTACGGACACTGGGATCACGAAGCAGATGACTAAAACCCAACTCCAAAGGGGACCCACGGTCCCGGACGGGGGGCGACATCACTTTACCAGGCTAAGACCTTGCGGTCTTTTTTTCTCTAACGTACACAGTTGAAAGCAAGGCATTCCAGCCAGGTTTTGATTCTTTTAAGAAAAAAAAAACGTCGGAGCGTTTCTTGGACCCTACATAGATTATTAGTAAACAAAAGATTGAATCCCAAATATGAGAGAATAAACCTAAAGGAATCTGGACTAGGTTTCCTCTAAATACCCCCCCAAAAGAGCCAAGTTACCCAGCCCACAGAAGAAAGAAATGATGTGAGAAAAATATCTCTTTTGCCATCTATTTAAAAACCCAAGCTCTTTGACTTGGCAATTGTTGTCCTTTGTCAAATCAGCAAGTTCTCTCCGAGGACAGAGCAGCGTGAGACAGTGTTCAAAGAGCTAATGGTGATAAACTTAGACGCCTGGCCGGGCTCTGGGGGAACCGCAGAGGCTCAGGAAGGAGGCAGCGGCCGCCGCACGTGAAAGCGAAATAGCCTTCCGCGTAAAAGAGTTCGCGGTGCCAACAGAAGTGCTGATGGCAGATGAGTACCAACGTCTGCATCTCAGCTTTCTTTCTTTGCTTACTTGGGAAGCACTTCTTGCTTCTCTGCTGGGTGTCGGATAGCCGGTTCCAGGTGCTGTGCTGGGCCCCCGAGGACACAGAGGTCCCCAGTGGGAAAGGCATCCTCAGCAAAGGTAGACATCACAGGAGGGCCCGCTGGAGGGTGGAGATGCACAGGGGATCCGTGTTTGGATTCAGGCCAGTCTGGTTAGAGAGGAGGGTTTTTAGTGGGAACCAAGGGCAGAAAGGAGCAGGAAAGAGCTGGCCGTTACTGAGGGCCTGCTTTGTGCACGGTGTTTTAGGCCCATCTCATGTCATGTGGACATCCACCATGTGCAGTAATGGGGCTTATTTGGAAAGAGGAACAAACAGGTTCAGGGTTACTGGTCTGCTCAACATCAAAATGCTAGCAGGTGGCAGAGGCCAGACAGCAGTCCAGTCCTCTCTGACTCTTGCTAATCCTCTCTCCACCCTGATAGCCGTTTTCAAATTGTGCTTTGCAGTTCTGCAAGGATTTTGTAGCAGTTCCATCTTTAAAATATATTTTAAACTCTTTTAAGTCTCTAATAAATAACAGGTGGACACGGGCACGTTGATATCCAAAGTTTAACACATTGGCATTTACCGGCCGGCTGGCTTTTCTTTCCAGACGGACTCATTTTGTGCAGACCTTGGAAGAAAGGTTCTCTTGTGATATCTGAGCATATATCCAAACTCTTTTTAATTCTTCATAGATTAAGGAAGCCATAGTACCTCACAGGTGTTTAAATCAGGCCCGTGTATTTCTTGTGACGTAAAGGATGCTTCGAGCATAAATGAGCATCGTTCCATTGCAAGGCGCCAACACAATTGATGTCCAGCATCGTGGTAGCTCTGAATATACAATAAACAAGTGGCTTAACTCCTCTAAACATTAGTTTTCTCCTCAGGAAAATGGGAGGATGATAGAATAGGGCTGTTGGTAGGATCCAAGGACATAAAGCCTTGTAAGCACTTAGCATGATGCCTGGGACATGGAAAAGCCTCAATACATTGAGGGGCTCTTTTTTTTATTATTTTTCACAATGCTTATTGTCTGGTCAATGCACACTCTCTTCGTTGTTCTAACAGTCCTGCAGTCACAAGTACATATGTAACCTATCAGTCACGTTGTGGCATCGCATTGGAACCCGTTTTAGCGCTTGTGGTGAGTTTGAATGCTTTTTGTCTGTTAACTTTGTGATAAATTTTCCAGCAGTTGTTGACTAGTGTTAGTGATTATAAGAAATTATTCTTTCTGATCGTGGATAATTTTAACTGAAAAATATCCTGAGACTGTAAGAAAAGCTTTTAAAAAAATGGTACACTCTGTGATCATTTATCTTTCTAAGTTGTATTTCTCAATACTGTTAACCAAAGTGATAACACCCTAATTTCATGTGTTTTTTGTATCCATGAACATGGCCTCACTGTTCTCCAGTATCCACAGTAAACAAAGTGAAGCGTTATAAATGTGAAGTTATAAAATAAACACGTTTATTGGCTGTTAAGATTCTGAGTTTTTTCTGCTTCGTGTATTGTGGTTCTGTATAAACTATTGCTTGAAGAAGGCATTTCATTCCTAAAAAAAAAAAATTGGACAGATAGGATTAGAAAGTCAAGCTAAAAAGGGTCTCAGACTCTTCCGGAGAAGATCTGGGAGCAAAATGCTGGAACGGGAGCACTTGGCTTCGTCTCCGAGGATGAGAGGGCGCTCAGCCCACCCGTCGTGGATTTCCCTTTTAAAATGCCAGAAATGACAGATGGAGGCCTGCTCCCTCGGAGACCTCCAACTTATTTGCTTGGGCAAGAATTCGTACAGATACACTCACTAGCCTCCATTCCGCCAAGGGTGAAAAGACACAGAGGTAAAATACTGCGTGTCTTGGACGAAGTCATTTTTCACTATATAGATGTATAGAGGAGACACAATTTCTCTTGCCTTTGGCCCTCTTGGAATTTCTTCTCTTCCTCCTTCCTACCCAGTGGGGGAGCGTTCCTCAGGGACTGCACACCGTGCAGATTGACCCATTATGAGTGTCCTGAGGGATGCCCAACACTCTCCCAGTCACTTGAGCAGTGGGGAGGGTATAGCTCAAGTGGTAGAGCACATGCTTAGCATGCACAAGGTCCTGGGTTCAATCCCCAGTCCCTCCTCCAAATAGAAATGAATAAATAAACCTAATTACCTCCCCCTTGTAAAACAAAGGGGGAGAAAAACCAATCACTTGAGCAAAACCTTCTGGGAGATTGGTCTCACCTTGTACTTAAATATGTCTCCAGTCCAGACCCTTGGAGACCGAGGCCTCCAAGATTGCATAGCTGGCTGCTGAGGTTAACTTTTCACCAGGGGCCACCAGCATCTTCAGGTCATAGGTGTCACCTGACATCTCCTCCTGTACCAGTCAGTCCTGTTGTCTTCCTTCTAAATCCAAGATCCTCCGATCATCTGTTCCATCTTTACTCTCACATCCACACTACACTGTGTTGCCTCCCCAATGCTGAACTTTAAGACCCTCCAACAGACCTACTGGATATCCCACCATGTCCTAGACAAACTAGCCGGTACCATCAGAGCCCCCGCAGGATACCCCATCACCATATTCCTTAATTGAACGCTGGTCCTCCTGCTGGTCTGTTGCCCACCAGTTCCCTAGAGGAAGCCACTCAGTCTCCCCACCTCAGGAGAGATTGGCACGTGGTGGCAGTGTTTCTTTCGCTCGCCATCACCACCTCCCCATTTGCAAACACATTTCCTCCTTCCTGGCACGTGCTTACCCACTCTGCCCCACCACCCTCTGCAGACCAGTCCTGGCAAGCCTGGACAGAGCACTGGCAAAGAAGGGAACATGGCAGGGAAGGGCTGGGGTGCATTTAGGACTGAATCTGGCTGGATGTTATCCAAGGAACAAAAAGTAGGAAGAAAAAGAAAATGAATACAAGCTGTGTCCAAGGAAGGCCTAAAGCAAGGCTGGGAAAGCAAAAGGTTTTGAAGCTGGTGTTTTGAAGGAGTGGAGCCTGCAATGAAACTCAGAAGTGAAGTAAGAGGCTCTGGGACAAGTACTGTCAAACTCATTCGGGGTTTGTTTTGTTCTTGTTGTTGTTTTGACCTCCAGCGTGATCTTTGGATGGTTGAAAGGTCCGGGATCAGGGCAGACATCTCTCCTATCCCCTGCCTGGCTGGGTGGACCAGGAATTCCTTGAGTTTGCCCAGGGAAGATGTAACACTCATCCAGAAACTCTCTTTGGGTGGAAGATGGTGTCCAGAGATGGATTTCTCAGAAGCTAGCCTCCCTGCCGTAGCAAGCTCTGGAGTTGTCCCTGCTCCAAACCTGCATTATGCAACTCTCTGCCATGCCTAAGTGGTCCTTGACATCCCAAATGGACATTTTCTTAAAAACTAGAGTAACTCCAGAAGTGTGTGCCAAAATCAATTCTATCATTAAAAAAAAAAGTGTAGGATTTCAGTCTCTGTTTCAGGCCACCAGCTGGAGTGGCCCATTAATTGTCTGGGCTGTTTTAAGCAGCAGCTGAGACTTTTTTCCCATTCTGCCCACCCCGCAACCCACCCTTGAAGGGAGAAGTTCCCAAAGGGAGGAGTTACCCAGACTATGCGGTGGTGCTCAGGCTGGGAGCCACTGCAGGAAGTCCCCAGGGAAGGCAGGGGAAAAACTCACCCCAACGCCATCCTGTCCCAGACTTGCCTGCTCTCCACCACCTAAAGGCAGCCCCACTGAGGACCTTTCCTGGCTTCTCGGCATAACAACTTTGCCAGCAAACTCAATCACTAAAATGACACTTTCTTGAAATAACAAGCAATTGTCACAAAAGTAAACTTTATCTTTTCTAAGTATTGAGGTCTGATGACAAATAAAAATTGTGTATTTAAAGAGTACTGTGTGATACTTTGATGTAAGTGTACATTGTGAATCGATCTCCACAATCAAGCTAATTAACACATCCATCACCTCATCTAGTAACCATTGTGTATGTGCTGAGAATACTTAAGATAAATTTCAAGTGCACAATATGGTATTGTTAACTACAGTCATCATGCTGTACTTTACATCTCCAGAACTTATTCTTCCTGCGTAGGTGAACGTTTGTGCCCTTTGAGCAACAGGTCCCTGCTTCCTCCACATCCCAGCCCCGATAACCACCATGCTACTCTGCTACTTCTGTGAGTTTGACTTTTTAAGATTCCACATATAAGTAAGATCATACCATATTTGCTTTTCTATGTCTGGCTTATTTCATTTAGCATTATGTCCTCATGGTGCATCCATATTGTCACACATGGTAGGATTTCCTCCTATGAGAATGAGTTTTTATTACGAGTGAAGATATATCAGACAATGGAAGCCAGGTTGGCTACTGACTGGCTGTCCTGTTTCATTCCCTGGTAATATCCCATGCAAGAGGTCAGCCTCTGAGGACACTTACTGAGCTTGGCAACCCTGCTATTCCAAATAGTGGCTAGTGAACATTTTAACGTTTCTAAAGAGAAAGCCTCGATGTAAACCTAAAGCAACTCTAG